TTTTTTTTTTTTTTTTTGTTATGCCGACTACGTCGATAGATCTGCGACCGTATTATTCATTATTAAACGTCACTTTTTCGCGTCTGTGGTTAATTTCGGTGACGATGCGCTAGCCATTTCTACTTCGAGGTCGACGAAATTTTTTCGAGGACCGGTACGAATGTCAATACACAACGGAACGTTCGTTTGTTACAGGAGAAGGAAATCACGATGTTGAGGCTTGGATCTATACCGAGTATGCTGGTCTTCCTGACCATCGCAAAGATCGTCGTCTCGAATCGCTGTCTGACGATGCGCGAAGGTAAATCTTTTCCCTTCGTTCGGTCTCGTCGAGAGAGGCCGATCTGTCTCTGTGTGCTCGTAACATGGAATTAATTCAAAGACTTTGACGCTTTTCGACAGAAGTGTATCCGAAGAGGCTGACCAACGTGGACGGGCAACCGTTGAACATTAATTTTGAAATGTCTCAAAGGGTCACCCAGAGACTGGCCACTATAATCATGAGAATCTTCCTGACCGAGGTGCTCGGCTATTCGGGCGTTTACATCTTCGAGGTGGAGGACACGTTCAGCGTGAACGAAACATTCGCCAGGCTGTCCGAGTACACGTTCGGTAACGAAAAGTAAGATGGACAGCGTTGTTTTTAGAATTTAAAACTGCCCTCTGCCCTTCGAGTAGGACAACTCTTATCGTTGATTGTATACCACACTCGGTAGCACTATTTTTAAATTGCCGAGAAGAGAAGCGGGAGGGGGAAGAAAGGAAATAATGGAAATTCATTGACAAACTCGCTGATCGCTGATAGTTACAGACATCCAATGGTGAACATGGAGACGTGGATCCCGGCGCAGCTGGACACGATGCCGCTGTTGAACTCGCACGACGTAAAGGAATGCGGATCTATCGCCCCGCCGGGCCATTTCGGTTGGTTCGTTCCTGTTTCGCTGTCGAGGCTCGGCGACAATTGGATGACCTTCGCCACGAGTGAAACCGCGGCGCGTTTCGACGTGGACGAGCTGACGTTGGACAACGTTCGAAATTTCACCATGGACCCGGTCACCAAGGCCTACTACTGCCAGGAATCGTTCTGCCAGGACGGGATGTACATTCCGGAGCGGTGCCGAGATAGGCCGTGCGCTCTGTTGTTCGCCGGTCACAGCAACGTAACCGATTTCGTCAGGGATCACATCGACAGGATGAAGCTGTACGTCAAAGTGATCTGGGTCGGCCCGGAATTGAAACACGTGACCGAAACTTTGACCGAGAATTTAACTTTGTTAAATTCGACGGCGCCAGCCGGTAATAGGTATTTGGCACATTTCTTCGTGCATGCACTGGTTTTAGTTGGTATTTTTATTTTTACGCGGCCACGAGTGCGCTCCGCGCGAGTGTCTTAGCGAGTGTTCAAATAGAAATCATTTTATCGCGTCTGAGTCAGTGTGATCTATTTCTCGTAACGTTTCGAGCGAAATAATAATTCGACCAGGGGAGTAGCAAGGGAGTTGAAACAAATATATACTTGCATTTAACTTCTATTAGAACGTGGACGGTGTAAGGCTTGTTGCAAGACTTTGTTTCGCGAGTAATTTCTAATAAATATAATTTATTTAGAAATTTCTAATAAATATAACGAAACAATGACGAGTTTATCTTTCGTCCGATATAATGGCAACGAATATTAACAGAAGAGTTAATCGGGCTATTTTTACTTGTTGTTTCAGTTTAAAGTTCATCTATGAGGAATTATTAACGTGTAAAAAATTATAATATATTTATCTTTAAAATACTCTCAAGTGAAACCATAAATATTGCCAACGTACATTTTGTCGGACGAGATATCAACGTTTTTTCGCGTTCCCGTCGTTACTTCTTTTTTAACCTTAACTTATGAATTTTCATTCTTGCTTTTTAATTTTTATTCATGCTGATACGACGACGTTGCGGGGCAAAAAACGTTGGCACACGTTCGATATTTGCATAATTCCACGGCGACGCGCGTTTGCCCCGACGATTTTTAACGTCTCGCGCCAAGACGAGGAAATTACATGGAATTCGTTTCGTTAACGCACTCGGGGCGAGACACTCGGCTCGTCGAAAGTTCGCATTACCCGGGCTCTGCATTATTTACTCGATGATGGTTTCGCGGAGCAAAAACGATCTCCTTAAAATAGAGCCAGACACACCGAGAGAACACTCTGCACGCGCAAACATTTCACCGGAGCGTTTCTTTTATTATCGTCGTCCCGATACGTTTTTCCCTTCGACCTTGTCTCGTCTCCGACACGCGCCTCCGTGTATCATCCAGCGTTATTATCGCTTACAGAGAAGGTGCGTTCTCGATCTTTCAGGTCCCTGGTCTTTTTACATTGGACACCGAGCAGCGTCGTGCCGAACGAGAGGGATTTCATGACGATCGAGTTCCCTCGCTGCGGCATGCAGAATTTAGAAATCGGATGCAAATACGAATCCAACAGGTTGATCAAGCTGGTCTGGGGCCGATTCGAGTACGTTGCGAAGTTTGCTTACGAGGCGATCAATCACGCGAAATTCACGCGAGATATGTACGAGGATCTGTTGAACCGGTACAACGACCAGCAATCTGGGAACGTCGACGAGGAGGAAGTCGCGTGCAGCTGGTTGAGGGACAATCTGAACTACACCCTGGACGTGTGGATGCCGAGCAACGCCGACAAGAATATTCTATACGTTGGCGGGATATTCCCTATGAGCGAGACTTTCTATTCGGGGAAATCGATATTAGTGGCAGCCAAGATGGCGAAAGAGGCGATCAACAAGAACGACACCGTCCTGAAGAACTTCAATTTGAAAATGTTGGCCAGCGACGGCCAGTGCAAGTCGGACATGGTGATGAGATCGTTCATCGACTACATAGTGCACAATCAGTATGTTAAGCTGATCGGCGTCTTGGGGCCGGCTTGCTCGGAAACCGTGGAACCTTTGGTCGGTGTTTCGAAGCATTACAAGACGGTGATCATCAGTTACAGCGCCGAAGGGTCGAGCTTCAACGATCGTACTAAATATCCTTACTTCTTCCGAACGATCGGCGAGAACAAGCAGTACAAGCACGTTTATTTGCAACTGCTGCAGAAACTAGGTTGGAAGAGAGTGGCGTCGTTGACGGAGGACGGACAGAAGTACACGGAGTACATATCTTACATGCAGGACATACTTAGAGACAATGGGATTGCATTCGTGGCGAACGCGAAGTTCCCACGGGAACGGGAGCCGACTGTGATGACCAAGGTAAAATGACTTCTCTCAGAATTTTCAGTCTTTCCGATGAAAATCAGAGTCGAAGATAAAGTCGATCGACTGAACTAACGACCATGCATTTCTACGAATAAATCGTAGGAATATATTGAGATTGCGGAAAATCACTGCATATATTTATACGTTGTGACGATATTATCTGGCTCTTACGATAAAGAACAGTTGCCGCACACACTAGTGAATTTATTGAAGTGATAATTTCTTGTTCGTCGATCGATTTGGCGCGAAGTTTTATTAAGCACCAATAATGGTAATGACGTGGAGATTATAGATAACTCTAGAAATACTAATTTTAACTGCTCGAAGTGATCAATCATTGATTAGATCACGTTCAGAACAAAGTTATTAAAAGTCTTGTTGTTTTGCAGTATTTGCAAGATCTGAAGCAGAAGAAAGCAAAAATAATCATCGCCGATGTTTATGATCAAGTGGCCAGGCAAGTGATGTGCGAAGCGTACAAATTAGAAATGACAGCGGTTCAGGTGATTTC